TCAATTTGGGCTGTTTGCCATTGGCCTTTATCACATTAAGCTTTTTGTCCTTTCGCTTCTCGGCTTTTTTTTTGTCCGGCTACTTTTGTCCTTTCCGTTCCTGGCGCACTGCACCGGGGCTGCTTTGCGGTGATTTCTGAGCGAACTATTCCGGGACCGCACGCCCATACCGTGTGGCAGGCGGGGAAGTGAACGCGAAGTTGAACCACAACGTATTTAGCCTGACTAATGCAGTGCGACATTTCGCGGTGGCGGGTGGCGCGTCGCGCCCCCCGCTGCCGTCGCCGGATCATCGCGCTCACAAGTGTGTGTTGGCACTGTTCTCGCCGCGTGAAAAACAACAGTGTTCAAAAATTGATTATGCTGTGATGGTGGGGTGAGTAAATCGCAAAACCTGCCTATAGACATTTACGCCAAGCTGCGCTCTAAAAGTAGGCATCAACATGTTTTGGCATCTGCCGGGAAGAATGGGAAGTAAATATACATGTTTTCCTCTGGAGTAGCGATGACTGAGCTAGCGGTGCTGAAATCTTAGAAAGTTGGAGCAACAAAACGAGGAAGAGAAAAGCGATTTTACGTGTTAACACGTCCTCGGGTAGGGGGTCAAATTGACCCCCTAAAGGTTTTTCCAGAATGTTTTCCGAACTGCGCAAATTTTGCGTGGCTGTAGAAAATTGAATGGTGGATCGTTTGGTATTAAAAATTTAAACGTATCTTGTAAGATCTCCGACCTTTGGCAGGTCAAAGTCAGACCGTGGTTTCAGCGGAGGCAATTACTAGGGAATCCTTCAATCTGATTCAACAGCGGAGTGTTAGACGAACCCATACATCTCTGAGATGCTTTCTTAGGCGACACAACAGTTGAATGAGCAAATTACATTGACCTAGGGTCAGGTATGAAGGTCACACCAAGGTCGAAACTACCCTGTTTTGTTCCCCTAGGGCTTGCTGTATGGGATAGTTTTTGGTGCTCATTCCGAGTTTATTGATTGCAGGAACCGCATCATACCTCTTCCATGGACTTCTTAGAGGTCCGGATAGGTCAACGGCATAAAATGACTCAGGTCAACATTTTGTTTTAGGAACATACTGCCCAGCGTAATCTTTGTCGCTTAGTCAAATGCAAAACCCAAAGCAATCTTGTATTATTTTGGTCACCTTGACCTTAAAAAGGTCAACAAGATCACTGGCCTTAAATGAGAATGTGACCTTTTGCTTAGAAACGGTTATCTAGCTTATGGGGGCACTTTGGAGACCAACCCGGGACTTGACCTTGTTTGACCTTTTTGACCCAAAGATCATGACCTAGGAACCTGGAACTTTGACCTGAGTGAGCTCACGTACAGGTCAACACACCCTGTAAATGTGGTGTCTCTAGCTTTCTTAGTTATTGAGATCTCAGGGGGTCAAATTGACCCCCCACCCGAACGAAGGGTATCTAGGCGGCCACCCGGGCGCGTGTTAAGGCATGGGGAGAAAAACTCCAGCAGTGACCACCAAGCCTCACAGAAAACAGCGAGCTCCACAGTTACAATGTTGTCTTGCCAGCATCTTACACCCTTCCAGGACCTAGCTTCATATACAGGAAACCTACGAAGATTCACATTTATAAATTGCTCCGCATAGCTGTCCGAACCGGACACAGGCTGAATTTGATTGATCTATCATGTATCAGGCCATCTCTAAGTGTGACGCGTCAGTTGGACTAGTTTCTTTTAAGAGAGTCCACCAAAGTCCACGGGACGCAAATCAAAAGCACGCAGATTCGTCCCTTTGTTTTTTTTTTCAGCTAGGACCTGTTTGACACGCCCCAGACTCAGAGCATGCATCTGTAGCGGGACAGCTATTCGTATTGGGGGCGGGGGGTACAGTTTTTGCAAAACAACCAACTGGATCAAGGAACCAGGGCGTGGGGTTTATGAAAGAACTAGCCGAAACCAAGGATCCACGATCTCGTCTTCAAAAGATGAGGTGGGAACCAGGAACCGACGTTGGAAATTGGACATGTGTCTTTCTAGCACTCGAACAAAAATCAATCCCGCTGTGGCACATGGAAAAACCAACTCCAAAGAGGGGTTTTGTGCTATCCCTTGTAGGATGTTTCCACACCCCCGTTTCTGGCGTCCGAAGGATTCGGGGAAGAGCCACGGAGATCTCCGAGTGGTGAGTGTCCTTGTCGAGACAAAAAAAGAACGACAAAAAAAAAACGAGAAAAAGATCAAGACCGGCGCCGCCGCTGTACAGCGCCTCCTCCTGTACGAGAAGGCGCCTCCTGCACGTGTTGTCCTGGAGCCTCCTTCTCCTATTGTCCCTTGACTTCTTGGCTTTCGGCTTTTTTTCCTGTTACCCTACTGTGCGACACGCATACGAAGCTCGCCACTGTTCCAGAAAATGACATAAGAATGTATAGTTTTGGGCATAGGCACAGGCTAGCAGGATACCCATAGCAGCTCGAGCACCTGGTAGCCTAAGGGAATTTTGCATTTGGCTCGATCGGGAACGTCCGATGGCTGCCTCCTGCCAGGAATGTTTGCCGGGTGGGCTGGACCGGACCCATATTATAAGACTCAGATATGCTGAGGTAGCGAAATCCATTGAATCCGCGAGCACATCTGAGCGCGGTTGGCAATATCCCCTTCACACCAAGCTCAAGTCATTCAAATTTTCCTGTCTTACTAGTTCTGTCTTCTACTGACCACCTGCTTGAATCTATTTCCTCACCTGTCCGTTATCCCTTTTTTCCTTTTTTCAGTCCGAGTATTTTCTTTTTTGATTTGTTGTTTGTGGCGTTTTCCAGCTCTTATCTATTGTTATCCATTCAGACTTTTCTGATTCGACTCGTATCGCCCTTCACTTTTTCGCCATTTGACTGTCCTTGTAATTTTTCAGATTCAACTTTTACCCTGTCAACTTGCTATCCCTTTGTTTTTGTTTTTTGTCCATCGATTTTTCTCGGACTGGATATTTATCCCTGCCGACTTTTGTCTCTTTTGATTACTTACATACGACTTGTGTAGCTAAATTTTTCGATTTTGCCTGTATCCATTCGATTTTATTTCCATTCCGGGAGCCAACCAGCGCTTTACCGGCTGAGTTACGAAGACATTCACTTTGGCTAGCCAGAACAGCACTATCTCCTTAAGGTAAGAGATTTCATCGCCCTGATGAAATCGTGGTCTCCCAGGACATGTTTGTCAAGCTTGAGGGCGTCCGGTAATCGCCGCTCGATCTCCGCCGGCTGCCAGATCTGCCAGATCTCTGTCGGCCGCTGGTGCCAGATCTTCGTCGGCCACCTTCTCCGCCCGGGACAAGGACGCTCAGCACTCAGAGATCCCCGTGGCGCTTCCCCCCGTCCTTCCGACAACAGAAGGGGGTGTGATCCCTTCCGACACTAGGGGGTGTGGAAACGTCTTACAACGAATAGCACAAAACCCCTTTTTGGAATGGGTTTTTTCATGTGCCACAGCGGGATTGATGTTAAACTCTAACGAAAGGATAAACAACATAGCGCCCTCCCCTAACCCACCCCTCCTCCGCCCCGCTCCTACATCTATGACTATACGTGTTTCCAAAAATGCAGATTCTGACCGCGTTTTCGGTGGCGGCCAACCACACTCTGAAGAGTGCTCCAGCAATCACCATGTCACCGGGGGAATATGGAAGCAGAGTTCTGCTACCACTCGTTTTGCAGTAAACTTCTCTCTATCCAGCTGCCGCTTGGGTGGAAGAACTGACGTTTCGCTCAGCTAAAATGCATGCGAACTGCGGAGGACTTTGAGACGGCACGCAATGCAAAAGCAATAGAGAGATATGCGCCGCGGGGGATGACCGGAAGCACTGTAATGGGAATGGCTGCGCAGAAGAGCTTACGTGAAGGAAGTGTATTAGGAAGACCTGCGCTAACAAGCAATGTGAGGCAAAAATTTGATCACACGACGCAATGATATTAGGTGTTTTGCGCATATTGAAATTGTTAGAAGTAACTTGGAGCTTTCGAGCGCTTCGCCTGCGCCGTCATGTAGCACCCGTAACGTAATTCCGAAATTGGTGTTTGTTTTCATTGCTTGCATATGATAACTCGCGATGCGAAGATATGCGTGCTTCATTTTGCGTACACAGGTTTTGAGTGCGTAGAGTTGAGATCACAACCATGTGCGCACGGATTCTCGCGTATCACGAGCTTTAATGGAGCGCAATACCCAGCTTTGGTTCTCGCACCACTTTGGCCGTTGACTCCGAAGGGACTGGGCGGGGGCGTCCTCCACTGCCCCGCCCCCGTGGTGACCCGTCCCTGATGGAACAGAACGGTGTAAAGCTTTACCGGAACGCAATCCATCTTTTGCTACACCATCAGCCTCTCGCCTCAATACGGCGGTGCGCCGTCACCCCAGCCCAGCACTCGAGCTGGCCGGGTCGGTCGGGGCAAAAACCGTCGAGTGATGCGACAAGACTGGGGAGGCTGGGGAGAGGGGGCGGGGCGGATCTCCACGTCTCCACGTCATCCCTCCAGCGGCGAAATATGGGACACACGACTCCCACATTAGCCTCACACTCAGCGTTAGCCGCCGCTCCCTCCTGCCCTATCCATTACGCCGGCGGCCGGCAGCGCGCGCGGAGCGCTGGAAAGTAGGTCGAGCGGCGCACGGCGCGTGACGTGGCCGCCAGCCGCGGGCGCTGTTGTGGCCGGCCTGCCCTGCGCGGGCCTGAACAATGCCCGTTCACAGCGGCAGCGGCAGCGGAACGTGCCCCGAGCGTGCACCGGCACACCTGCTTACCCCACCTGACTGATGGCCATTGTGGCCAGCGCCCGGCCATTGTGACGTGTGCTGACGGGGCGCGCCACGGCGCCGGCTCCGCCCACCGCGCCGCCAGCCAATGAGCGGTGGGCTACCGGGAAGCTCCGCTCACCGTGACGGCTGCACCAATGGGCGGCGGGTGGGGGCGGGGCTAGCGTCCAATGGCGGGTGCGTAGCGCGGCTTGTGCCAGTGGATGGGGTCGCGCGGTGTGGCGGGTGGCGTGACGAGCGGCGCTCCTGCCATGGCACTCATGGCACCCCCGGGAGACACACACATGGTGAGCTATAGCTCTGTTGGAGAGCACGCAACCTGATTTTTGGGTTTTGGGTAATTTCGGCCCTACATGTGTTTCAAACATTACACGAGTGCAACTGTGCGACAGTTGTGTGCTGGAAACTACGCATGCCGATCCGTTGTTAAAACAAGCCTTATTTTGACAGCAAAACACAAATATTGCCAAGCTTCGTCCAGTGGATTTGGTGCAATGGTTGCGGAAATAACCATAATATATGATCGAGAGGGCTATGATTCTCGGACGAGCTCATGCACCCTAGAATTGCATACACATTGTGGTTTGGTAAAATCGGATAAGGAAATTATGGAAATATAAAAATTGGCAAAATGAAAGACATGAATTGACCTGATACATGCTTAGCCAGGAACTACACCTGACTTGGTCTTTTGCTTTATCGGGTAACTGAAGAATACGCGCCGTTTGTTCACCGCTGAACGCTGTGGCATTGGGAGGTGGGAGGGAGGAGGGGGGGGGGGGGAGGCACTGGAAGCGTTGGCCGTATTTGGCATGATCCAGTATTGGTATCTCCAACTCCGGAGAAAAATGGAATATAACCAATGGTCCTGCACGGAAAGCCTTGCATTGCATGACGGTCTGCTTTCTAACATTTTTGTGAGTTCACCCGACCTTGCCGACCGTTTACTCGATTTATGTTTGTCAGAAACCCGTATTGGAGCGAAATTCCAAGCAATCGATCAGTGCGGGATCGCCAACATACGTATCTAAAACTCGCCATGTACGGAAACAGCAAAATCTGTTTTAAGCTGTCGGAAATGCTGGCTTTTAGTTCGTCCTTTCATGCAACGTCACGTGGCTAATGCGAAACTACCTTCAGTTGGGGGAGGACTGTCCCTCTGTCCCTGATGGCCCCTTAAGCCGTCGTTCCCAGTCATGGCACAGAAATGGCGCCATACGTTGGTGGTGCTCCGCCAATACCTTTGCAGGGGCCCAAACATCCAGGCTGTAATGGTTTGAGCAAAAATTGTGGTAACCTATTCAGTTGGGGGTGGGGGGTGGGTGGGGGGAGCTCCAGTTAAGCCCCCCAACTTTGAGACCGAAGTGGGCAAAAGTTGTGGATGAACCCGTTTTTATGTATTTTGTGGTTAGGTCTAGCCAGTTTCTGCTCAGTCCCCTCCCCACACTAATTTTGCCAAGCTACACTCACGTTTTGAATGTTTACTTCGGACCGACGAGCGGATGCGTGGAAAGCAAACATAAAATCTTATTTGCCCCGCAATGTAAAAGAATAACCACACGCTTTACGTGATATCTCACTGCTACTCTGGGGGTCGCAATGACGACACAACCGTCCCTTGTGCTGGTGCGTCTCGTCGAGCTATCTACGCGCGGTGCAGTCCCCAATGCCAAAACAGGCTCCACGAACAAGACGTGATTTGCGTTTATGTTTTCATCTGTAGGAGACAGCACGCCATGTCTATATCTGGAGTTGATCATCCCGCGATGTGGTAGGACCTCACATCACACAGGTCCAGTTGGCAGCCGGAGGTCAGGGTCCAAATGAGAGTGGGTTCAGTCGGCAGCCAGTAAGGGTCAAACTGAGCGTGGGTCCAGTTGGCAGCCGGAGGTCAGGGTCAAACTGAGAGTGGGTTCAGTCGGCAGCCAGTAAGGGTCAAACTGAGAGTGGGTCCAGTTGGCAGCCGGAGGTCAGGGTCAACTGAGAGTGGGTTCAGTCGGCAGCCAGTGAGGGTCAAACTGAGCGTGGGTCCAGTTGGCAGCCGGAGGTCAGGGTCCAAATGAGAGTGGGTTCAATCGGCAGCCAGTAAGGGTCAAACTGAGCGTGGGTCCAGTTGGCAGCCGGAGGTCAGGGTCAAACTGAGAGTGGGTTCAGTCGGCAGCCAGTGAGGGTCAAACTGAGCGTTGGTCCAGTTGGCAGCCGGAGGTCAGGGTCCAAATGAGAGTGGGTTCAGTCGGCAGCCAGTAAGGATCAAACTGAGAGTGGGTCCAGTTGGCAGCGGGAGGTCAGGGTCCAAATGAGAGTGGGTTCAATCGGCAGCCAGTAAGGGTCAAACTGAGAGTGGGTCCAGTTGGCAGCCGGAGGTCAGGGTCAACTGAGAGTGGGTTCAGTCGACAGCCAGTAAGGGTCAAACTGAGAGTGGGTTCAGTTGGCAGCCAGTAAGGATAAAACTGAGAGTGGGTCCAGTTGGCAGCCGGAGGTCAGGGTCCAAATGAGAGTGGGTTCAGTCGGCAGCCAGTGAGGGTCAAACTGAGAGTGGGCCCAGTTGGCAGCCGGAGGTCAGGATCAAACTGAGAGTGGGTCCAGTCGGCAGCCAGTAAGGGTCAAACTGAGCGTGGGTCCAGTTGGCAGCCGGAGGTTAAGGTCAAACTGAGGGCAGCGCGTCATCTCGGACACCGCTCACGCCGCCGAAATGAGAGCGGTGTTGTTTGCACTGTCGGCAGCGATCCGCTCAGTTCCGTGCTTGTGACGTCGGCCGTGATCACCTTGCTTGGAACGCCGGGGCCGGTGTAAGTCGACCCGGAGTGTCGGGTTCCTGCTGGACTGCCGCCTGCGGATGGGGACCGTGACGCGGGGTGTGACGGGTAACATTTTCGGAAGTGACGCAACCCGAACTGCCTCGACTGCCCAAAAGTGATAATGTTCATTTCCACCTGTGACCTGACCTGACCATGACCTGTGGCTGAGAACAGGGTGTAACTTTATACAATTGGTTGTGGTTGGCCGTGGTGGGGAAGGCTGGCTGAACTGATAAGGTTAACGTAGCCTATCCAAATCCTTATTTGTCCGCGGATTTCGGACGCTTTATTTTGGGTTCCCGACACCAACAAAAGATGACAGTTTTTGAACGTTTTAGATATGAATTGACTGGGCGGAAATGGCTTCCAATTTCAGGTCGATATTATTTTTTGAAAGGGTCTAAATGAGGTGTAATCTAGGAAACCTATCTCGGTGACACGATCAGCCAATCGTCACGACCAAGGAAAATAGGTCTCTATTAGTCACTGAAGGTAGCGTAGGGGGCAAAACAGACCCATTTATGCACGATGGCGCGGCCTAGCACGCGCGGACGAGAGGCCATGGAAGCTGTATCGCGTGAATTGCTGGGATGAACCCGTATATAACCGTGACACCTGACACTTAGCTCGCACGGCTCTCTGAACAGACATGCCGATGACTGGCAGGACCGAGTAGGTGGAGGCCGGTGACCGGACGGGTCCCCAGAGCAGCCGTCTTGACAAGTGCGACCAGCGCCTTACGTCGCAGCAATATTCCTTTCACTCGGAAACACGCTGCTCAAAATGTGCGGATTCCACGCTCGGCAAACTTTTTGTGATAAAGCCAGGTGAAACGCATGCAAGCAAATTGCGTTTTAAACCAAGTGCTACCCCATCATGCCTAAAATAATGAATGTGCCTAATACAATCAGACACACCGAGGACCGCTGAGAAACCGGTCCTTCTGTCGCAAATGCCCAGGGCGGTTTGTATATGTTCTCATCCCCAGTTGCGTAAGCGTGGTCGTAAAAAAATCCGGGAGAACGGCTATCCGTGTTGACGAGCGAAGTCCGTCGCTTGTGCTGCACGTCCTCGATTTAACTGCGCGGCCCATTAACGCAGGATCGTGTAAGCTCAGTCCCACAAGCTGTGTCATGTGAGGCTCCCACCCAGGAATGATAACGTGGGCAAACAGGTGAGCGCCGCCGCACCATCCAAAGATTTGTACGGCCTTAAGGTAGCGCGCACTGGTGGTCCTGGTTTTAAGTCCAAAGTGGTGCGATCGGCGCTGGAGACCCCATCCGTGAGTGAGGTTTGCCACGCATGTGCTGGTCGGGTCAAAGGGAAATGCAGATGGAAGAACGATGCATTTAAAATATCTTGTAATATTGGTACTTAGGAACATCTCATGTATGACAAACATAACGCGGCGCTTGTGGCCGCGTTGAAATGAAAAAAGGTTTTATGAAAACAAAACGTTATCATGAAACCGCGGAGAGGCAGATTTAAGAAAAACGTACAAGCCGCCTGGTTAACGCATGAAAGCCTGGCACGGAGAGATCAGCTGCGGTGCAACAAGTACCAACGTGCAAGCAGAAATTTTGCCATCAGCAAAATACAACACGGATTCCAGAATATTATACTTGCTGGTCACCCACAGCCTTCCCCCGATACCGACCACTGAAGCATGGTCTTGTAACTTGGTTTGAGCTGCGTTGTCTACGTTGTGTAGGTTTATAAATAACTCTTCTTTAGTAGTTGTGATGAACACTGCCGTCGCAAACGAGTTGACCTTCCGATCACTGTGAGTCATCGAAACCTTTCGGCCGGACTGTTTTTTTTTTGGGGGGGGGGGCAGCCCTCGGCAAGGCACCGTGTAATGGGTGTCCAAATCTGAAGGCCTGAATGGCTGTTATGTTCGTGATGGCCGAGCAATGTTCTTGTAATGTTCGTGATGGTCGGGCAATGTTCTTGTAATGTTCGTGATGGTCGGGCAATGTTCTTGGAAGCATGCAGCTATCCACCCTTATCTTCGCTATCTCATTAAACCCTGGAGCCATTAGGACCTCAAGCCGTCGTCAACCTTCTGCTTCAAAACCTACTGCACATTGCAGTTTTTCGTACTCGGTTCAGATTTTGTCTCGTAAAAGCCCGTCAACATTTACAGACTGCCCTAGCATATGAAGCAATGGGCTTTACAAAACGACGGTCAGACGTGTCTATTTCGCGTCGGACGTGCAGGAATCAGGCTGAGTACAATTTGCTGAGTCAAACCTTCCCGTGTCCAAGAGCCGCGAGGTGATATGCTCCGTCACATTGGATTGAAGAAGGACTTCAGCGCCAGGCTGGTCAAAGTCGGATGGATCTCGGCATCGCTTCTCTCTCATAGCAACGCATTATCCGCACTGCGTGTGAATCGCCACGTTCGCGACGCGCACGCCCCTAATCAACACCTGAGTCCATGTCCAACAGCAGACGGGGGGGAGGGGGGGGGGGGGTTCGCAGCTGCTTCCCAGCAAGACCCCGCTGGCCCCGTGCGAGACATGAGCGGCCGTGCGCGCCGCGGCTGCGCGCGCCGCCCCGCCGCGCCGCTGCTGACGCCGCCGCTGCGTCTCTTTCCAGGACTTCTCCCCGCTGGACGTGAAGGTGAAGCACGAGGTGGAGCCGGTGTGCCCCGGCTACCCCGGCCTCCACATCGGCACAGGTGAGCGGACGACAAAGGTGTGCGGCGGGCCCGCGCGTGGCCGCCGCTGGTATCGGTGGGGCCCGGATCGCGGCATATTTAGGGCAGATTAGACCAATTTAGTGTTCGAGTCGTGAAGCTGGCACCGAAACAGAAATGAGCCAGAAATGAACCAGAAATGGACCGCGGCAACATGCAGAGCGTGGTTTCATCCATGGCACCGGGGAACGGTGGGTGTTCTCCGCGAGGACGATAACCCTAGAGCGATGCGTGGAAATCGCGCATCGTAGGACTGGCCTGGAAGCCCGGGTCGTCTTGGGACGTTTTAATCTCTCCGTGACCGGTATAGAGCGGACCATTCTTCCCAGACCCGTCCCATAGGCCTCTGGAAGACCAGTATAGGCATGGGCAGTTTTCGGCCATCACAGCCAACGGCAAGTCCGACGGCATGATGGTCCTCCGGTTGGCAATGCGTGCACTCGAGCATGTGACGCAATCATGTGGTGACTGTATCTGAACCTTTCCATCTACGGGCTTTACCTACGGCATACCTACGCCACCTTTCTTTTCGCTCAACTGTCGGCCCCAGTTCAACCCCCCCCCCCCCCCGGCACCTTCATCCCCACCTTCAGAAGCATCTTCTGTCGCCACAGCAGGCTCGTGGCGTGAGCCCCCTCCCCCCGTACGCGTGCACGGCTCGCATCTGCGCCTGACACCCCCAGGCGGCCTCGTCGGCGTGCAGGCCTGACACCGCGTCCGCTCCGCAGAGTACACGTCGTCGCTCACGTGCAGGCCTGACACCGCGTCCGCTCCGCAGAGTGCACGTCGTCGCTCACGTGCAGGCCTGACACCGCGTCCGCTCCGCAGAGTACACGTCGTCGCTCACGTGCAGGCCTGACACCGCGTCCGCTCCGCAGAGTACACGTCGTCGCTCACGACGCTGCACAAGTCGATCGACAACCTGACGCGCACCACGCTGGCGCCGGCCCCGAAGCCGGAGCCGGAGCCGTCGGAACCGGACGCCGGCAAGCACGCCGATCCCAACACCAAGCCGCCGTACAGCTACGTGGCCCTCATCACCATGGCCATCAAGAAGTCGGTGGAGAAGCGGCTGACGCTGTCCGAGATCTACCAGTTCATCATGGACAACTTCCCCTACTACCAGAAGAACCAGAAGGGTTGGCAGAACTCGATCCGGCACAACCTCAGCCTCAACGAGTGTTTTGTGAAAATCCCGCGAGAGGGAGGCGGCGAGCGAAAGGGCAACTTTTGGGCTATCGGTGAGTACGGCAGGACTTGGCAGAGCGCTCCCCTCCCCCTTCTGCCAAACGCAGTGTTGCTGAGTGGATGACTGGCCAATGCATCACTTGCTAGCTGGGTCGATTATATACTTCTAACATTAACATGAAAATACATTCGGGAAGTCTGTGTGACCAAAATACTCAGATTATTTATTGCAGACAAGTTATTAAGCCTGCATCATCCTGGAGATTTCGCTTAGAAACATGGAAATGGATTCACCTTGGAACGCGGTCGGTATTAATACAGGAGATGCATGCATTGTCGCAGTGCCAAGGGTCGATGCGACCACATCTCTTACAGCTTCCTTGCGCTTGAAATTCGCATCAGCTTATTGCTATTAATGCCTGGAAAGTGAGCGAGCGAGACAAAGCCCTCAGGCATGGGGCATTTTTTAACGAAGCTGAACCCACGATCGCTAGACGAACATAAAGGCCTATATGACCTTGACCTATGGTCCTGCACACCGAACAGTGGAAGAATGCTGGATGGTAAACGCACCGTGGAGGCTTCTGCCTTTCGTATCGCTACCAGTATGGAACTAACGGCTGCTCTTATGCTCATCACATGCACAACGCACGCAATTTTGTGAATTGGTTAACTAACCGTCGAGAGCACTTCAAAGATGAGATAAAAGGGTGACTTCAGCAGCAAAGAGTAATTTTCCATTAGGTGTTGCCTTTTTGTGTCTGAAGAGCATCATATTCTAGAAATGCTTTTTATACTCCAAGTGATGATGGGTGTAGGAACAGGAGGGACCAAGGGACCAATGGTACCTCACTTTTCAAGATCGGGACCAGCAATGTTAACTGGCCCATCACTTTTCAGATTTAAGTAGCGTTTAGCTTACTTTTGAACCACCATAAACATGCACGCCAATTTACCCAGTTCACCAACCGTCTTCCTGAAGAAGCGTCATCTTTCTCGTTTGCCCATTGGCCATCGCTCAACACCACAGACGCAGGGCCGACGCCGCGCGCCCTATGGAGACTGCAACGCCGGGAATCGAGGCCGTTGTTGCTAAAATTTGCGTGCGCGCATGCTCAAAACTACGGTGCACAACTTGCATCACTAATAGATTTAAGTGTTCAAAGGTACTTCTCTTAGAAACGTTATCATTTTTGTCCACCAGTTGGCTACGACCCAGCACTGGCCACTGGGCCAACACTGCGCGGCCTACGGAGGCTGCAACGCCTGGCGTCGAGGCTTTTGTTGCTAAGATTTGCGAGCGCGCATGTTCAAAATTACGCTACATGATTTACATCGCTAATCGATTCTGACTGAGTGTTGAACAGTTTCACTTAAAATTGGCTTGGCCATGTTAATGCACATTTATACACATTTGTATTCTCAACCTACCTTCGCGGGGTCCTTAATATGGCTGTATAACCCACATAAGAAGTCTGATGAAGCTTCTGATTTTTTTCGGCTCAGAAAGAGTTCACTGAGACATTCTAAATTAAGAACGCCGGCGATTTGTTCCACGCAGCTGTTCAACGCCTGATTTCTGCAGCTTATTTACTTCAAAATGCAAACAGAACAGATCTCGCGGTAGCTTGTGGTTTCTGTTTCTGTTCTGCTTACAAGATGAAAGAAACAATAAAACGAAGATATTTTTGTCCCTTACCAACAACTAAGCTCGCTACATCCGGCGATCTTTTTTGAGGGTTCACCATCTGAGAGGGCCTTTGTTAACCATATGCCCTTTTGGCAAAGCTCTAGCTAAGCCCCTGCCTACATACAAAAGTAGATCCACCCGGCTACTTTGAATGAAGAGCAATTGGGTGTCCGTTGGACCAATTCATGCCTAAGGCAGGCAGCTTCCCGAAAGCTTTTCTGCGGCGATGTGGTGTAATGGAAGATAATTCGGAAAAAGATACTGTTGTGGGTATTCAAGACATGTTTTACACACCAATAACTGATGATGCTGATACATGAATATGCAGCAGAGTAGCCACACGATCAGCTCGCAGTCCCCCCCATCCCCCCTTGGGGAGTGGAGGGACGGGCAGCCGGGCTAGGGCAGTGGCTACCGACGGCGGACGGGAGCAGGCTTCAGATAAGGAACATATGACAGAGGAGCTTTCGTTCTGTGACTTGGTTTTTTAAAGGGCAAAAAAGGCAGTCTTATGGTTTTTGTCACCCTGTTTTTGGCAGGGAATATTTCAAGCTTCCGAGTTTGTTTCCGCCTTAAATGCTACGAAAAACCTGATTTCTAGCAAAGTAGCCCGCGAAATTTAGGCGCATGCAAATTCAGGCGCACTATGGGTCACCGGTTCGCATTCAAAATTCTGACCAGCCTATGTCGAGGTCGCGCTTTGCATCTATCCTGTGTATGTGGATGCCTCTTTAATGACCCAAAATGCATGCTCGCCGTAGAATTTCACATACTCAGGGAAAGTAATGTTGAAATGGACGAATGATGGTGGGGAGCTGGATAGCCTGCTTTACCAAATGACATAGATGAGTCGAATAACCAAGATAATGCACCAGTGCGAAACAGCTGCAGATTTATATGTGGCCACCAACGACATTTACTCATTTCCAATATTTGCTATGTGAATTAAGAGCGGACAATAGTCCCCGTCTGTACCCCCCCCCCCCCCCTCCCTCTGATCACCGGGGTTGCTTCCTAAATGTTTAAAAAGTCCCAGGCATGGGACGGGACGGGGGAGGGGGAAGGGGTGGAACGGCAGCCATGGCTCCACAAATTTTAACCGTATAACGTCGCATGACAGAAACTAGGCACAAAAACTTAAAGGCAGTGTTCTTCAATTATGTGGGTCTATCTGGCTATTCTAACTGAAATATCTACCTTGAAGACCCTTCGGTGCTCTTCACAATACTGCCCTTCTTAAGACCTAGGCCCCTCTAGTTTCTGAGCTATACGTCCACGAAAACGGGGAGAGTATTTTGAGGGTAGTATTTCAAAGTCACTTTGCCATTCATAACGTCATAAGAACGTCATTCATGTCCTGCCATTCCATAAGTCATGCGATGATCAAGGCCAAGATAAATAGAATTATCGAGGCGTTCATTCCTGGCGTTCTTGAGCACTATTTACAGATATAACAACCGTCAATAGCCTCTCAATCAATGTTGTGCAAGGTGTGATGACGTAATCAAATCATGGCGCATTGAGGAGCATGTTTGCTTAACAGATAGTTGTGCTGCCTAGAGCAGTATTTTCCGCTAAAAAGTATACCAACAGTTCTGATTGAGTTTGTTTTGTCATATCTGAGGCGTCTTCGATATCCTCAAAAGTGAAACATTCCCTTCAAACTCAGAAAACCTTCATTAATGATAAGTGTGATGCTACAATAGGTGTCTTTGCAGCAATTTGGAAACACAGACAGGCACCTTCCGCGTTACATGACTTTTCACTTTTCACCTGGTTGACAGTGTACGTGCTGTATCACATCCATGAAGAGTAACCATGAGTTTCCTATCTGCCCCCTTTTTCATTCATCTGTTGCGTCCTCCGCTTTTCTTGTAGCCGCAGTTAAGCCCCTGTCATCCTCCAGCGGCCATAGCGGCCACCCATTTCGCTGACGTCATCACCTCCTGTCCAATCAGGCCACTCCTGCGGGCTTCGTGGCGCAGCTCTGGAACTAGTATTGCGGGCAAAGGTGGTTTCGCCCGGTACATACCGATGACGTCATGGGATCGCGTGACTTAGCGGTCATATTGCCGAATGGCCGTACCTGGTTTTCTGGGCCTTGAGCGCAGTGGAGGAAGTGGTTTGTCAGACGTGGGAGCGGCCCCACCATCTTTCATTGAAAAGGCTTTATTTCGATATTTTCCGTCGAAAGACGCTTGTCCTGTAGCTTAACTATGCGAGCTTTTACTGGTATTCTACACCTATGAGTGTAATGCTAGCATTTACCTACCTTTCCGGTAGGTAAATGCTGGCCTACACAAGGGTGTCACGTTTATAAACGTTTTGTGGGCTCAGCCGATAAAGTTTCCCCAACCTTTCCCCGCCCCTTGCCTCAAAAAATTATTCCCGGATTTAGTCCACTAAAATTTGTGCCTCCCATGTCAATGATTACAAATGATTATGTGAAAGTATACCCAATAAAAAATGGCTTCAGCGAACGGTGACTCGCCATTTCAAGCCCATGTAAAGCTGCAGCTTTGCGAGAGGCTCAAAGTTTAGTTTCAACCTCAGAAGGCCCCTTATTAAGACGGTCCGGTATGAGCACCGGTGATAGGCCTCGTTTGCCGTTCATGCAAAGCGTCACGCACCACACAGACAGTTTTCTGCGGAATGGCAGTGGCCTGACAAGGGCAGACCAGAGAAGCGCGTGCACGGGATACATTCTCCTTGGACAGCTTGGGGAACATGTGCTATGCGCACAGCCTGGAAGTACCTATACGAAAAGGTGAAACTGGTCTGGCACTTTTTCAACAGGCACTGTCTGTAGCTGGAGGGACGTCTGGAGCAGGTGAAGGCCGGTGACCGGACGGGTCATTACAATGACGGCCGTACTAAAGAGCGCGACGAGCGCTTTGATATCGATTTGGAAGTTGATATGAGCAATAAATGTGACGCGCTCGTGATAATCCGCCGTGCTGAGTTGGGAATTCACTGCACATAATTTACTTTCAGTTTGTGAGGAGGCACTGAAAAACGACCTTAAAAGCAAGCAATAGTCATGCTGAAACATGTTAGCTGTGTCGTGCAATGGCATAGCCAACACAGCTAGCTGTATTAGCAATGGTCATGTTGAAACACGGTACCTGGTCCGGTCCGGTTCGTTACGGTGGCAGCAGGTGAATACCACTGTTCCGCAGCGTGCTTCGCGCGGCCTGAGGCTAGCGTGGATTGGTGGTGTTAGTTCACGCCACGCCAAGTCCACGCCAGTTCGATCAGCCCTCGAGACAACGGCGTATCCAGCTGGGATTAGGGCTTACCACACATGTGTTAATCAGATGAGAGAAAAAATGCACATGGAAGAGCGTGCTATAAAAGGCTTTT